ATAAATCAGTGCACACGACCCAGAATAAACCAAGCCACTATCGTAGAAATCCTTGTCATTTCTCATCTGATAATTCAGTATCCAAAACCGACTCATAAATTACAGTAACATGTGTATCGTGCTGAAAAATTTGAAAGCAACTGCCTGAGTTATGCTTAGCCATCGAAGACGTACAAGCCTAAAGAACTAAGAGGAAACCTTGTATAGAATTGTAAAGGTTCAATTTCTATCAATCCTGTACTCCGTATTCACTAAGTGTGCTAGTATCGAGCTCCTGATTGACATCACGATTCTTTCGCCTAACCATGCTTGACAATGCTCAAAGGGTGACGGTATGTTTGTCGAGTTATTCGACCTTTACAACTGTCTTCACAGGCATAGTTAAATTTATAGAGGCACAATGAAGTCGAAGTATTCGGTGGCTCATCCTCCACCTGGATTGGAATTATCAAAGGTCGCAAGGGGTGATTTTAAACACAGTGTTGCTGAGAAGATTGTTTGGGCTGTTATATTTCTTAGTTTCGATGCCAATAATTCACTAGCTATATCTCGTTGCAAAGATAAGCTTATATATATATATATATATATTGTTGTTGTTTAAGTATATGAGACAATCATCTTCCCACTCTATGATACGGTGAGTTACACATGTACATGCACACATGTGAACGCATTGACAAGTCTGGCTTGTGAAATTTAGGTAGCTCACTCATTCTAGGTATATTTCTTTCTACAAGCTGAAGAAATTCGAAAATTTGAGGTGAGATTACAAGGTTGGATACTAGTCTTCAGTATATCCGTAAACTCCCTTTCTATTTACTGTCTTCTTTGTCGATGTGTAATTTTCGCAATTTCACATTGTCCTTTACTATGCTGTTCATCTTATCGACGTAGTTAACTCTATCTAATAATACGACCAAGCCGTTTATCCAGTCTCTTTATAAGAATGCTTTGGTTCAAACGGATTCTCTTTAAGGCTTCAGTGAGAGCATTTTTGAGGATCATATACACGTTGTCACCTTAACTCTCTAGGCTTGTACACTTTCAACTGCTATGAATATGATATTGAAGTACTTGGAATCTGTGAGAGCAGGTGGGATGGAAGTGGACTCCCCTGACTGTTAACTGGAGACTCGATAATCTACTCCGCTCACCTAAACGACAACCACCAACACACTGAGTAAGTCGCTATCATGATTTCGCCAACAGCACATTGAAGACTTTTATGTAATGGGAACCATTCTCCTCCAGAATAATGTCAGAGAGATTAAACTCAAAATGAACGTAGGTTACAACCATACAGTGCTACTCGACATGAGAAGAAGACGTAGGTTCAGACCATAATCTGGTGCAACAAACCTCCATGGTCCATTTGAAAACCACCAAATAATCTGGAGATGGACCACAATTCAAGTTGAAGGCTCAGAAACTGAAGGTCGGGCTACAAAGGACACCTTCACAGCAGACAACAGGAAAATGTCGGAGACAATAACCAAAATCACCGGTGTAATCTGCCTGGGAGTACACTGGGACCTTCTAAAAACGACGTGCGGAGAAACCTGTATAGACACTTAAGGCGAGAAGAGATTAGACACGAAAAGGCTCTCTGCAGAAGCCATGCGGCTGATAGAGGACAGAAGGATGCAGAAGTAGAAGATAAACCAGTGCAGTGACGAACAACGGGAGAAGGAGCTGGGCACAACCTACAGATCGTTGGGCAGACGAATCAACAATGGTAGGAAAGAAAACAGACACTTTCAGGAAGCGTTGGCGAATGAAGTAGAACAGGATGACACCTCAGAAAACGAGATCGCCTTCCATACAGATGTCTAGAGGAGCTCAACGTGAATTAAAATTACTTTCAAAGTCAGTTCATTTTCTCTGCTAATAAATAGCATATAGAAGTCAGTTGGTACGAATTTCAGAAAGGAAAGATTATCATTGGATAATTAGTGGCTGTCTTTATGATAATGATCATTGTGTACTGACCTTCTCACACTACAAGAGCCTACAACTATGATCAACATTATCTCACAACTACCATTCCAGTGGGAACAAACATTAACACCCCCACACCAACATACGCATACACACAAATGACTCTTCACTCCGTTTCCCGATGTTATGGAATTTATCACCAGACTAAGTGAAATACATGTTAAATACTAATTATGGACATACACTAGTGTGTACTCATTATCACCCTGTGATTCTAAACCATCAATTTGGTATTATATTTGTATATGTTATCATACACATGAATGTTTTAACAGTCGACTCACTCCCGGATTCTTTAATCACAACAATCCCATGTTATGCAAAAAGCACCAAGGATGTTAAACACCGAGAGCAAATATCAGAAAATACAATATATAATAAACTGTATCATAGATGTGGATATTAGCGGGGACAGAGTAACAGCTACCGGCTCATTTTTATAGGACGATGGCCAGTTGTGAATGGCAAGACAATTAAGTGATATGGTTGACAAGCTGACCAGTCGGCTTCTTCATGTACCATTTGACTTACGATGGTGATTACTGTAGTCGTGCTTATTATAACCTAACAAGTAGCATCAAGTCAGAATTTCTGAGAAATAACAATTCACGCTCACTGCACTAAAATGACTGCCATCGACCAATAGTCTACTGAACAACGTTCGGTTGTGCCAAACAATGGTTACCTAGTCGAGTCTCATTGTGAACACCATCACCAGGATGCACATGTAGGTACACTCAGTTGACCAATCTCAAATGGGATGAAACACGCGTCCACTGCTAGCCACTACTCACATTGCTCGTATCACATTCAGTTGATAATAAGCTGAATTTAAGAGTGTCTAAGGCTAGAATTGAAGATGTGATTTCTGTAGGAACTTCTATGCATGTCTGTTAACTGGACCCGCCTATTACGGTAGTTTGTCTAGTACTCTTCACTTTGTCAACACTAACAAGTCAAATATCAATGTATTTCGCTAGTTCATCCAATTGTATGGCACGCAGTTTATATGAGCCAATCCGTCCCACTAGATTATATGTCTATCGTGCACACATGCCTAGATCTCCAGTGCTTTCATGCTGCTTTTACCTAAGGATTCATAGAGAACTCCTGATCGCAGTAGGAGACATTGGGCACGTAATGTGGTGCAGTATTACGTGAATTTATGTGATATAGTGTAATTGACCGGATAACGTCCAGAGCACAATTTACTGCTCATTGTCAACTCTATACTATGGACTATAAGTTGTGCCAAAAACTTCATCCAGACAATCATATCAAAACACTTCTTGTCATATCATATAAACTCGTGTTACACAGAGTAGTTAAGGTAGTTTTCGTCACTGCAACCAGATAGTTCTTAAATCCTCTCCATTGTGATTGATGACATACATGTTTGACTCAATATCTTGTAACGGGTGAGATTGACATTCTAATATTACTCGTGTGTTGTGTTATGTGGCGTAATCAAGGTTGGTCGGTCGACGCTGGCGTTGCAGGATGATTGGATTGAGTGGAAAGCGAGCAGCAACAGAACACCCTCTCAAATGCAACTACTACTAGTTAAAAAACAATAGTGCGGGCATAGAAAATGCACTCAATTCAGAACCCCAACTATAGTTATCACCTCATTGTGGAACTCCCTCATAGCGCTGATATACTAAGGAAGGTTTAATCACCAATTATTCGGAAATCGGGATGACTCAGCTATTAGTCACACTGAACTACACCTGAAGCCTCAAAAGTGTCGTAGTACTCTACAAAATATAGAAATTACGTGGAAAACACCCCCTGGATAATTGACGCGAAATACCTCAAATGGGAAATGCAAACTGATAAACACTGAAGTAACTCATGACCGTCCATTTCGCATAAGTTAGGTCCCAAAATGCAGTGCATACCACTTGCAAAACCATCGAAGGCCAATGACTGCATCACTTCGGAGTTTCAGGCTCTTCAAAAAGTACAGTACACTGGTTTGTCTCATTCCAACGTCTGCGATGAAGCATAGTTGTGCCCGTTTGGCGTCTGTCGATAGCCTACGATTTCTTACGTGGGGTCTAAGATCATACGAATGAGTGCCTCAGCACGTCATCATCCCGTACAACTGGGAATTGTAATCAATCACGATGTCGCAATTAACACTCGGTGCCCATAACACAAATACTGTGTTCTTATCTAAGTAAAATAAAACAGCATTTAAGGTAATCATTCACTACGCAAATAGTGATCAATCGACCTTAAAAGATGTGATATCCACCGAGAAATGCTCGAACTATTCAGATTAACCACCATCTTGGCCAAATAAATTATTGGAATTCACACTGCCACAGAAGACATGCATCTCCGAAATCCCCTGCTCAAGAGTACGGACAACTAGCTTCGAAATTACACCTTCTTTACGCCTACCCACAACACGCACGTTAATGGACTTATCAATGCCAGGTGTTGACACTGCCTCATCAACCGATTCTTCGTCAACACAGCGGGGACGTAGAGGTCAGAACACCTCAAACGCAGTCAATCAGTCACCTCTTCCCAGAAAACATGTCCGAATCAACCATCGAATTGTGAAGTGTTCAAAGTTTCTTATCAGTATCACGTCGATGCCTTATCATCGCCCCAACAAAATACAGTTAACCAACCTTCTTTCATCCTGTAAATAAACAACTTCCTCCATCCATCCTTATATACCTTCAAGTTTTACTTCTATTATTCCTATTATATTTATGGTTCTGTTGCTTCTTTGTTTTACTTTAATAATTGCAAACACCAACTTTTGTCTATGACTGCTGTAATCTTTGTTTTCCCCCTCACCATATCATGTAAAGAGAACACTGTATTCAACATTTTTAAACATGCTAGGATTACCATACCTCATCGACAATACTGTGTGAAAGAGGCCAACGGAAATTTTCACTTGTATTATTATTACTATTACCTTAGCTGTTATCATTATTATTATTTCCATTTTATATGCTGCATGTTTTGGGAAAATTTTCTGTGTGATTAATTTTATTTATAATTTGAGGGAATTAGATACAATATCGTGATTAATGCTGAAAATCCCATTCTGTATCACAAGTACTGCTTTTGGAATGAAGTAAATCATTATCATTATACTATTATTATTATTATGATTATTATTATTACTATTAAAAGGGAAGATGGATTCAAAAGGAAATACAATTTATATGAAAATAACAAAATCTGTTTATAAGTAGAACATGCCGTCAACTTGACTGCTGTGAACTCTGAAACGACCAGCATCTAACAGAATCTCTGGTTTCTCTATGTCCGATAACCACTCACGTGCCCGAAATGCAGCCAAATGAGAATAATAAGTCGGCGCTGGATACGAGACACTACGGGAACACCTCATGTACGCGTAGCATAAGTGGTAGGTGAACATCTGAAGAGCATTCGATGTCCAGTTACTATCATCATACAACACGTGATAGTGAGCAGGTTTCGATGTACCCTAAAAGTAATGGCATTAGCACAAAGAAACAATTTACCTGAATCCCTTCCTGAGAGCAGAGGTAGAAATCAAATTCCCTGGGATGCGTGATATCTGTATCTACCACGGTTCCTGGCTCCACGTTTCTTGCCCTGACAAAGCATTCAAACAGACCGTTAAGACACGAATAAAGTGTAGTACGTACACAGGAAACATCATGAGCAAATACCTTACCTGGGGTCAGATGGTCTAAATCGAATATGGTGACGCTTTTGCACAACAATATAAGTGATAGCTGGCTCCTCGCCAGGACGGACATCTGCACAAGCTCGTTGAATTGCACACAGCTCTTCCACCAACACATTTTCGAACTGGCCCTCCGAAACTCCATCGCGATAGAATATCATGCGCGTCGGGAAACGCCCGTTCGTGTTACGCAGGTAAAGCTGCAACAAAACACAAATAATAAGGAAGAACGAAAGCGTACAACGGGAAAAAGGGGAATGTGAGTCAGTAGAGTTGGTCATTGATGAAAACTAACCTGGAGTAGCTCCTTGACACTGAGACGCATATCATCGATTATTTCTCTGGCTGCCTTATTCCCCTTTTCTGTGGTTGCCTGCTGACGGATAACTACCCCGTACCTCATAAGATCGGGTGAAACACTACCAATAACAGCAGCTACTGACTTTCGAATTTGATGAGTTTGTGTAGGCGCAGGATGAGTGACATCGGCTCCAAAAACCATAACCAACTCTTGACTGTCCTTAATAAGGTCAGGAATTCGCCAGTTCACACCGCCGAGTTTCCCATTCAGTTTGAGTAACAGGTTCGCTGAAAGCAGAAAACCGAATTAAACTCATCGAAATACAGAAACACACTGAAGGCTACATGTGAACAACACTCATTACTTACGGAAAACGTTCGGTTTGTCCAGAGTACGAGCTCGTACACATTGAGTCCGAATCCCCATTTGCAGGTCACTCAGACGTTTAATCGATGAGTAGAAATGTTCATCGTACAGGATGAGAAGTAAGAAGCCACAGCCTTGTCTGGAAAACTCCTCGAACCTCCTGTTTAGTTCTCCTCTCGGACACTGTGCCACAATCGGTCGAGGGCTAAACCGAACACCAAAGCGACTGGCCGCTCTAGGCAATTCCGATATCACCTTCTGTACATGACCATGAGACCGCTAGGAAGAAAACATGGCAAGGAGATGAAGCAGTCAGTTCTCGCGTTTACATTTGACAATAACAATAACATGAGAAGTTCTTCCAAATGTATCGCGCAAATACGTCTCACTTTTCAGATAATCTCCGTCTTCTAAAAACACTATCTAAATTTATAAAAGCGACTAACTGTTTTCAACAATAACACATGCCTTTTGACAACAAACCAGAATTAAGTGCACACTTCTCAGGCTACTCTACCCATCTGACAACATTTCCTTCACTTTATTAAAAGGCAGACAAAACCTCCTCTTTGTATACAGAGCATTAAACACTGACAAATAAAAGATGATGATATTGCCACCGACGTAATGCAGTGAACAATAAAGTAGGTGGGCTGTCATGGAACTAGGCGAGCTACCCTTCGATGTTGATACAATCGACAAATGATCAAGTCTACAATGTCAATTTGGTGCCCAAGTGATTGTACAACTCAACTTTGTTACAGCACTAATCTTACGTTGAACTGGAGTAGAAAACATACCTGATTAGGCGGAATGCTAAGTACAGCCCACATTATTTCTACTCCTTCGCCGGCAGGGTGAAGAAAGCTAGGCGTGCTCCAACTACCTGCCGTCAGCTGTTGTACACCGGAACGACCAAAGCCAGCAGTTGGCGGCTGGATAACACGTGCGTTAACTTCCACTGGCCTCGGTTGAATCGCCAAACCAAATTGTTTGATCAGTGGGTGGGACCTTGGAGGAAATGGAACAAATGTCATGTCAAAAGAAACCCTCATAATTACAAAACAATGCATTGAGTAAATCATAAAATCTGGCTCCAGGCTAACGTCGTTTACACACCTTCCTACACAGTTGGTTCCAGACTTGCATTCAAGCATACTTACCCTACAATTGAGTTCTCTTCACTGCCACACAGCCAACAAACACTACTCTAATTTTGTCGTGCTCAACTAGTCGCAAGTCTGTGCAATTATATGACTCGTGGCCCACTATAACCAACTAGACACCGCCACATTCTGCGTCCTTATCAAATCGATGTACAAAACAGTGTATGTCGTATCTACTTGCATGCTTGGAAAACAAACAATAAACTCTGTAGGGAGGCGTTACGTCAAGGATCTCCGGCACTTACCGAGAAGGACTGTGGCGTTTACCTCACGTTTATTCAAATTTCAAAATTACGGCTGACACAACGGACAGCAGATTTCTGTCATCAAAACGTTCACAAAGCGCTCATCTAATAATATATGTGAGAAGTTTACGCATTGTGGAATACATCAATCAAGTGTAATTGTATTTCAATTCCAATAGCTAGTAGCAATTTTGCTAGAAATCAAAAGCCTATCGCTGTGCGTAAACAACCAATGAAATACAACTATAACCAATCATTCGTCTAATAGTGTGCTTCCGTTCTCACATTCAACTTGTCTCTTTACAGGAATACAATGAAGACTAGAACTTCCAATCATGGGAAAACTGAGTTGGCTTGTAGTTGGAAGGACCTACAGATCCATAGCTTATCGGCTACAATTTAAAGTAGCATTACTCCGCCCATTCTAGAGGACTCTTCCATTGACATCACCAATGAATCTATAGAAGCTAAGTGTGATAATTCGGAAATCTCCACAAGTATCCAGGGTCGGTATTGTAACCTACTACTTATTCTACTTTCTCACCATCCTTTTAATGCGCTACAACAATGAGTGTCGAGCTACAAGCTTCATGGAATGCCGAAGAAATCAATCATCGAAAGCTCGTCTATCTCAACATGCTTACCCTCAACTCTTGGATCAATAAGCAACACTACACTTTAGTACTGACCGGTGGTATCAACTCATAAATGAAACTCTTACTTCAGCATATTATTGGCAAAATTCTCCAGCTCTCTGAAGCGCTCCTGTGGTCGAATTGCTGCACAACGGATAACTTCACTCGCAATATCGGCTTTACTCGCATTAGGAGCTTGATAGGGCAAAATGTTTAACAGTTCCATAGGCATATACACTTCACGCTTTTGATCAACCTACAAAAATAATCACTGAAATGCAAATTTACCTTCACACAGGGCAGCTCTGGATACTTCAGAGTGATATGATGGTGCCGCTTGAAATATTCAGCCACGGACTGGTTCAACTCCTCAATCATCAAACGGTCGGCTGGTAGTGATGATATCCCGTGCACGGTGAAGCGTCGGGAATATGCACGTCCTAAAATGTATGAGGTATAACAGAAAACATGCATACCATCATCGCTCTTGTAGAATTTATCAGTCTCAACTCGTATCTTTCTCAAGTCGTATGCCATTTGAGTGCTACATCTAACCATATCGTCTCCATACTTCGAGTACATGACGTCCGCTAGATTCCCGGATACAAAGTAGGCCTTGCACGTCTGTGATTATATGTAAAATAGAAGGTGAATCACTACTTACCATATCCAAGTTGACACGAATTTTCCATTGGGGTCGCACGCTACTGATGAAACCCTTATGAATAGTGAAAAGCTTATCCATAACCACTTTAATTGGTGTTTGCTGAAATAGGGCTGAGCGTCCAAGGGATACAAACGACTGCTTTGACACCGTCTTCAAGATGCAGTCTAACAATCTGATACATTCCTAGAAACAAATATGAAACATATCCAGCCTTACTTGGGGCATATTCATAGAGGTCGCTTTCGGATTCGTTATGAAATGGCTGATATCGGAAGTAGATACCTTCTGCACTTCCATAATCCGGTACTTCAGAAGAAGGCGGTCCCGACCAAACGGCTCCTTGATCTCAATCTCTCTTTCTACGGGGTCCGTTGTGACACCAGGTAACGGATCTTCAGAGTATATGGCGTGACCGCCATCGTATATGATCGTATCTGGTAAACTGCAGAAGCGAGTGAAATAAGCATAATTGTTTAGCGTGAGGTTTATGAATAGATACCAGTGCTCTCAATAGAAACCATAACCAACAACTTCACCAATTCTTTCTAAACAACGCTGACAGTAACCAAAGTCACATAATGAATGGTGTGGGACATGGAACAAGTTATCCCACACGTGTACGAATCTTTGGTTGACAAGCAAGCAATACTTGACCAAAAGTCAGAGAAACAATTCAGCTTAATAATTAAGGAACAGAAAGTTCCGTTACATATGTGAACAATTCATTTGATCAATAACACAATGGTACTTACGAGTCAGCTACCTGCTGAATTAAAGATCTCAACTCTTTAGGTGGCATTCTTATCTCAGTTTTACTGCCCTCCTTAGCTTCCAATCGATGAACTGAGTTGGCCTCCACAAAATACAAATATACCGTTCTGTGATGAAATGTCAAATCCCAACAGTTTGAAGTGACTTTGACTTTCTTGCCGATTGTACCTCCTTGGTCTGGTCTATTCGGTATTCTGAGTGTCTTCTGTATGTTTAGTCTGAAAATAATAGTCAATTCGGGAGCGTTACCGAAGGAAGCAATGAAGACAAATACTGTTAGAGTTTATTTGACGTCAACTTACTTCGAAATACCCGTAGATATATCATACCTGAAACAAAGAAACGAAAGCTAGTTAGGCATCAAGACAAAACATGTCGTGTTATCTGAAGGAACAACAGGAATAGTACTCACACAGCTTTTTGGACTGGATGGCTCTTTTTCTGGCGAGCAGCTTCCGAGGCAATTTCGCCTTCCGAAGACGACGGAATATCACCCCGTTCACTAGGTGTATTGGAACTCCACACAGAACCAGACGAACTATTACGAGTTATTGTGAGCATTCATAAACTTACGCTGGATAACCTCTTTCAGCAGGCTTCTTCAACGGTCCTGAATTGTTAACGCGTGACCTGAAAGGTGAAAAACAACATATTAGTCGTTATGCACTCCACGAATACGAACACTGCTACTCTGTCATTTGTGGAGGCTGACTGAAAAATCAATCTGGAAAATGACAGCAGACTACATAATACGTATCCGAACACAACAGACACAATACTACTGCTCGCCAACTCATCATTCATGAAACAACTGCAAACCACCGTAGCTAAATGAACAGGACAAAATTCATGACTTCTACACCTCACAATGTCAAATCAGAGGTCGAATTGACGATAACTAGGTGTCACATAGCTTCCCCTACTCTCATCTTATGTGTGGAATCGCAGCTGACAAATCTGATCTACAATTCACCAACGATAGTCATTGGGTGGGGATGGGGATTAAGAGAGTCGAACAAACAAGTTAAATGAATCAATCAATGGCGTACATATTTACTTGCTGTGTTTTGTCTGGTAGAGGTAATACAATCATTATCCCACTGCAACCATCGACGACTCAGGTTTGAAAACACGGGATTTCGGACTAGTAAAGTTGAAGCGAAGTACATATCTCCAACGTAATAACTGGTGGTCTAGACCACGGAGTATGCATGTCTAACCATGGTTCTTGGGATAGTAGGAGCCAATACTACCATAGTATTACAGACAACATGCTCACTCCTCATCCTCCATGTTAGCCACACCTCGTCAGTCCTCGTTCCACACAGATTCTCAGGAACTCCAGTCAACAGGTAGTTAACGTGCACGACCATCACCGAAACACACCACAAGTGGACCCGACTACTCAGTGCGGTTAGACAACTCAATTCCGTCATAAAAGCTTGATGCACCAAAGTTCAGATGACTTTCCGAGTCACCACTCTGTGGTAAACCCGTTCAGTCTCTGGGGTATCTTAGTTACACTGCTTCCGAGCTGCACCTGAAACCACAATAGAAAGATACTGGTGAGGTATGCGCTAAAATACTTCTCAGCTTTGCACGTAGAGGATGGCAGTTATGTGGGTAATGTTAATGGCGAGAATCATACAAATCAATCCACATCCACCCATTTCCACAGAACCAGCCTGACTCACCACGGTCTCCCCAACCACCAGGCCTGGTGCCCCACGTCTACGTGGATGTCCTTAAAACCCTCTACAAAACACAACCGAGTATTTCAGCAGTGCTTAAATGACCGTCATATAGATTGTAGTATGCAATTTTATTTACAATCAGCATTGAATATGACCTGGATCTCCAATTACTGCGACTGTCGCAACTGCACGACATAATTGTCCGTTGGACAACAATTGGCTGACAACTCCAAGCAAACATCATTCTGTCAAAATCCCTAAGTCGACTAACACACTCACAAGAGACACCTGGAAGCCTGTAGACTAATGGACAACCTCACCTTTCCGACATTCTGACACGAACTACTACAATAGTAAGCGCACTCCTCAACTACTGTCCGTTGTCCGACGTGCGATGGCTTGACTAAACAAAATTAAAAACCCAATATCCAATACTTTTCGACCTCTTGTATACACCTTGAGATTTCGGATTTCTTGGCTTTATTTGACTAGCCTTTAGTGAATTTTCTGCTTAATTACATGTTAGGTTACGTTTCAGCTCAGTGAGTCCAAAAATGTGTTGTGAGTGTATGAATTCGGACACTCAGATCGCAGGTATGACGGAGAATGTACTCACAATACAGACTTCGCTTTGTGAAGGATGTAACAGACTACTAACACATAGTAAATTCTGTGTAAATATCTTGGAGGGCGTTGTTTCTAGTAGCATATTGAGAGTCAGTTAATATGCCTAACTCGAGATACATACTTTATAATAAAAGGGTAGCTGCAAAGCACTGCCTACGGTTTTTGACAAGGTGTTCTTCGAATTAGGTCATTATTTGCACTTAGATACTTGGTCGGCCATCATGGAACACCTTATATTCCGTGTGAGCTACATCAAGAATTCTACAGTCTATGTTTCAGGTAATGTTATGGTTTAGACCTTATATAAACTGTAACGAGGTTTGAAAACATAGAATACATTATGCCATTCCCTTCGAAATTTAGGCACAGGTCGTCAAAGGTTCTAAGGCTTCCAATGTGTCAACTAGACAGTTATGCTTCCTGAGGTTGTAGGGTTCATCTTGTTCAAATTTTGCCGTCTTAATATTTGTAGAGACTTTGCATTGTGGGACTTTTAAGAATAGTGTGAAGTTCATTTTTATTCTCATTAGCCACCTCGCTTCTAGTCTACCATTACAACACCAATCTTTGCGTGGCGTACCCATACATTCGTTTCTCGATTCTCGTTAACTGTTTGTCTCTAACTGTATATTTGCCATGAACGATATATCCCTATTATTACTGTCAGTATCTCACTCTTCGGCCAGGTGAGTAAATGACTGATGAGACATCTAACTCCGATCGCGCCATTTCAACTGTTTCATCACATGACGTCCTGTGGTCCACACAAGATCCTGTCGCGTACAACTACTCTACTGGACGTCCACCGAAGCAATAACGGATTGTGCGGCTACCTGCGAAAACAAGGGACGTTTGCCTCAACGCCAAGGAGTGGTCCTGAATAAATAAAGATGGGTCCATACGGTAGGAGAACAAAGAAGTTCTTGAAGTCAGTTGAGTCTCAGACCTTTCACTGTCAACGGTCAATTTGTTTATCCATGTGGACTGAAACACAATCTGGTCAGCAAAATTCTCAGGAGACAAGAACTCAGTGGCGGCTTCGTGGTGTGATTGCGTATCGCTATGGCCTAATCCTGTCATTGCTAATAAATACACCTTTGAGCATACGTGAGAGCTATATTCTCCCTTCTCTAGTTGTAGTGGTGCCAAGTCCATAAATGGACTCATATGCAATAAGTCCATGTTTTGAAATCTTGAGTGGTATGTTTCAAAATATATGTACATATACATATGTGTAGAATGATGAAGTTACTTTCAAATATCTTATCATTTATGTTATAAGGAAACATTCTGAATTTCGTAGAGAGAGTTTTTTCGTTACGCGTATACATAAATATTAGTAGGTGGCATTCTATTCACAGTGGTTTGTAGTAGCAATCTTCGGATACACTGATTCCGAATGCAAAATCACGAGAGCACTAAACACGGTTTAAAGCAATATCATGCTGAGCCAGTATACCCACGGTTCTACGACAACAAGGGAGGAGAGTGATTCCAAATACAAATCCTACGTGATTGTAGATCAACATTAAGTTGAGCCTGATGACAATCACTTGCTCACAAAACGGGAGCGATAATGATTATAAGGGAGGTGGCCGTCCAGAATAGCGATGTTATGAACTAAAACAGTCACCACACATCACGGAACATAATACCTATATGATGGCGGTAACCACCGAATGTATTTGTAACAACTTCAGAGGCATCAAAAAGAAGGTGAAACAGCTCAGGTTCGTGTGCTCACACCGCGCGACACCAGTCATCGTTGTGACAAAGACTTGGATTTCAGCAATCGCTATCCATGTAGTTGAAGATAGAAAGATCAATTCATGGCTGTTTTCTCAAGCCTAATTCCTCCACATTTTTCGCGGGAGTTAGCAATCCATCAGTCATCGTCTCATCGTTCGCTGTTCGGTGGAAGACAGAGAAAAACTATCAGAAGTATTATCGTAATTTATTGTTATAACATTTATTCTTGGACCTTGTGAATAATAACCTTATTGTTGGTTACACGCTGGCGTAAGAATAAAGGATTCTCGAGTCGTCAATCTGTGTTCTGGTTTTCGCGTTGGTCGATACAAAGTGGTTCTGAAAGTCTTCGAGGGACAGAGTGAGGTTCAGTGTAGTAGGAGCTGGACATCGACAGTTTCTGAGAGTTGGCTGACAGTTCCTGATGGTTTCTGCTCGTCTTTCCTCGTGTCTGCCCGTCTTCTTTGCACAGGTGTTATCTGGAACTTTTCTGGAATTTTTGGTCGAGTTCAGTGATGCAAGGTCAAAGAAAGGACAAAGCGTCTTGGAGGCAGACAGGAAAGTAAGTAATGATGAGTTGCTAGTTAATTGTAATGGTAGGTATGATACTCATCATGATGAGTCCCTTGTTCATGGTTCACCGTTTAGGAATAGTAAAGGTTTAAAGTTAACTAGGTTCGAGCCACGGTACTTTGGTGGAAACCAAGGTGACTATCCACAGTTTACCAAAGATTTTGAGATCATGTTGAGTGATTGTTTATTAAATGATGAAATGGAGTTAATGTATTTGATGAAGTACTGTACTGGAGTTGCTTCAAGAGCTATCCAGTGCTGTAATTTAATGTCCCCTGAAGAAGGATACTCTGAGGCTATGAGTATACTACGTCAAAGATTCGGTAGACCTTCGATGATTGTAGGGAAATTATTTGAGGCTGTGAAGGGTAATGGTAGTCAATTACAAGATGACTCCAAGGCACTCACTGAGTTTCTGGATAATCTGTTGACTTACAAGAATGCATTGATTTCGATGAATTGCTTGAGCGATCTCAACTCAAGTTCAGTCCTAGGGGTAATAGCGAGACGCCTACCCACTCGACTGTAAAGGAAGTGGATGAAGATAGGCTCCCGTATAGAGGGTGAATGTACTGAGCCAAAGTTCGATGATATTCTGAAACTGGTAAAAGACAATGTCAACCAGGTGATGGACGAATTCGCCAGCATTTTGCATTCTAAGGTAAAACCTAGGGAACCGGTGAATATAAAGAAAGCATTTGTAGTGAAGGCTCAAGGCCCAACGAGAAAGGATGAGTGTATTGTTTGCGATAACACGCATCAATTGAGTGATTGCAATCGCTTCATTGCTTTGTCTCCCGTAGAAAGGTCAAAAATGGCAAAACAGAAGCGTCTGTGTTTCAGTTGTTTAAATATGAAATGTAAGGCGACAAACAAAGGAAGTAGTTTTTCAACCGATATGCAACCACTTCGAGGACTGTAAACTAACCGGGGAATTCGGTCAATTGTAATAGTACCTTTAGACCCCTTGACAACCTACAAGTTTAG